TAAATTTCAAGAAATGGAGAAAATATCGATTATTTTTTTTAAATGGGATATTATTTTTTTCTTATTTTTTAATTATTATTAAATAATAATAATTAATAATATTTACAATTAATAACATTTTAAATTTTATATTTATTTTAATCTATTTTCTATTTGGTAAATTTCTTTCCTATATTCTTTTATATATAGAGTATTCTTTAATATAATTTATGTAAAATAAGAAAAAAAATTTGTCAAATAAGTATTATTAGATTTAATACTGTCTAACAAAAAATTAATATAATTTAATTTTAAAAAATAGAAGATTCCTTTTTAAAATACACTAAGATTTATTCCCAAAATTTTGTTTATTAACGATTAGTTCTTGTGTATCGTTCAATTTATAAAAAAACATATTCATATTTTCGAAGAAACAATTTATTAAGCATTATATAGAACATTTTGTGTAATTCAAATAAAATAACGAAATATTTCTTAACAAAAATAAAAAATAAAATAAAATAAAATAAAATATTATGCATCATGGATTAAAATTTTTGCAAGCGAAGTGAAAAAAATTACTTACTCTGAAAATAAGAATAAAAGGAACGTGTTGCCATTGTGCAGAGGATTTTGGGAATATTGAACTGGTCTTTTTCATAGGAGTGGAATCGCTTAATATCTGTCAATGAAAAGGAAATAAATATAAAGTCCATGCAGCATATTTAATGAACACACTTTAATCATCTACACAAATGCGAATGATCATTTAATACATATTGTAATAAATAAATATAAATATATACATACATGCGCAAATTAATCTAACAAAAAATATATGTTCAGCAAATTAACTATATTTGTATTTCAAAAACAAAATAATAGAATAATAGTAAATCATTTTATTTAAGAATTAAATATTGAAAATCCTTTGTAGAACTTTTTACATTTTCAAAAATATTATAACTTTTATCTACTTATATACTATCATTATTTTAATATTTCAATTTCTATAATTTTTTTAGATTTCTATAAAGAATTTCCATTCTATGTTTTGAAATATTTACAATTTATAATGAATAAATTAATCAATATTAATATCATATTATAGTTTGTTATAATTTTCTATATTCTTTTATATAAAGACAAATTAATTTTTTATAAATATTAAAATAAAAAATATCACAACATAAAAATTTTTTAATTATTAAAAAGAATATAATCAAATTATTATATTATATAT